CTCAGCAAGCGCAGTACAGACCCGAAGTCAAAACAAAAAAAAAATCAGAGGAAGACTGTTTTCTGAGCCGTCGGCTACCGCCGACCTGTCGGCCCCGATCGGTCGGTACAATACGGTCGGCTGTCGGCCCGACCGGTCTGCAGGGATGCAACCCTGGTTTACAGTGAGTTCAAGGTAGTTGTAATGCCTGTCTGTCTGCAGTGTGTCTGTCATTAAGTTGAGCCAGGACAGAAAATCCTGATATTGCTTTCGACTGTGGGATTGATATGCTTGCCGCTGTTCTTTTGGTCCTGTCATGGCGCTGCAGATGGGGATTTTCTGTCTGCCTACATCAGCGGTAATACCACTTCATAATCACCCGGGAATGACGGTTCTGAGTAAGCTGCTCCATGGATCCGTGCATGTGCGCGCCTACGATTGGTTGAACCCTTCTGATGAGGCTTCAAATGCAAGTCCAGCACAACGTAAGTCATGTCTCACTTTGTCTTGTTTTTCCTTTTGTTTTGCTTGGCGGCAGAATTTAGTGAACGGCGTCAAATATTGCTATGGATTGCTTTTTCTGAATCTTCTGTCTCGTCATGATGTGCAGTCTGTGTTTGGCATGCAGTTACTGTGCCCCGCTTTGCCTCTGTGAGAGTTGACGCAGATGATTAACAGATCCCTTAATTTCAGCTTTTTCGCGTGAACGTCATAGCAGAACCCCCAAAGCCTTTCCAAACCAAAGTTGCCACCAATCCATACTAGAGCGGACACCATGCTGAAAATGCGGGGTCCCTGCGAACCGTGTCCAAGGGTTGCATATTTGTTGCGTCAGAATGTGGTCGTTTGTCTTTTGTGCCATGGGATTTGTCGTAGCAAATAATGCCGCCACCATTGTCGTCATCATTGAACTTGAACTAGCCCCCAAGATTCTTCTAGCCCCCAAGATTCTTATCGCCTGCTCTACCCTGTCACAGCAAATAGTTTCGCCTTCATCATCGTCGTCATCATAATCGTCATCATTAAGCTTTATTCTACACCTCTCAACTAGTCCCACAGATTCAAACTAGAGCCAAACTTGACCGATTCTAAGCCTGCTCCATCAGCTTTGGTTTCACAGGATGGTAGAAAGGATAGTGGGAATCTCAGTGAGCCACTCATGTGCCTTGCTTATCTAATGATGAGGTGTCAACGAGATAATGGGTTGCCAAAGAAGGCCCTCCGTGGCCCCTGCTGGCATCTCTGGACCTGCTTACGCTACCACAGGCAGGTTTTTGGAGCACTAACCCAAGCCATTCCGATATACAGTGTGCAAAGGCTCTTGTTACAGGGTTCCACAGCTCTAGGACCGGCGATCCATCATTATCATCATTATCATCATTATCATCATCATCATCATCATCATGTTGTCACTGTTGTCACAATCATTACCATCATCTTCATATCTGTTACCAATGTTTTCATCATCACCACCACCATGATATCATTTACTGTTATCATAATCACCACTGGCACCACCACCATGAACAACTCTCTTCTCTGCTCCCGAGGAACACTCACGTCATGATCATCATCACCATCATGGTCCCCTTCCGCCTTCCCCCTTCCCTAAACAGTTCCATCGTAATGATTGTTGCCGTCGCCATCATCATCAATTATCTTATTGGTTACCTTACTGTAATTGTCATTTGCATCATCGTCATCATGATCACCATCATCATCGGTAGCGCCGGCTTCATCATCATCATCATCATCATCATCATCGTCATCGGCTGTTGCAATGGCCACCATCACCGCGACCATTGGTTACAGTCATCATCACCGTTGCTATCAGGACCATCATCATCATTGTCCTCACCACTCCCTTTTGCCGCTCCTCGCGTCCAAATTGCGAACCTATGATATAGACTCAAATTCTGGTTCTGCTTCTCACCCTCTATGTTGGGTAGAGTCAGCTGCGATGCTGAATAAAGTCTCCTGGCAATGACAACTGACTGTGCGTTCAGGATTGTTGGCAGTTGCTGGTTGGTGGTGGTGCAATGCATGGAACGTCTAAGTCATAGACAATACTTAATGGTAAAGTTTAACACTATTGCACTCTACAAGTACTCACAAATACTAGATCGGGTACTGTTGCACTCTATGGCTCACCGTAGTCTTGCCCAGCTGCCAATCAGTGTATCATCAACAAACTGTCAGGTTATGTTCAGTCAACCAGAACATCAAGCCAAGAAAATCCTTTCCTAAAATCAGTGGTGTCTGAGCATCGAATACTGCTCGGCAAGATTCTGCTCATCCAGGGCCTATTGCTAGAGAGTGAGACAGAGAGAGAGAGAGAGAGAGAGACACAGACCAACAGAGACAGGTAGACCGAGAGCGAGAGAGAGAGAGAGAGAGAGAGGTCTGCCGCTCCATGCATTGGTCAATCCGTCCATCGGTCTTGAACAGTCGCGCAGACACGTGTCCTAGCAGTATGCACGTTAGACGTGCTGATGAGTGCATGTTATGGTTGCCCTCAGTTTGTCTATATATGTCGCGCCGTCCGATCCAGTAATTATCCCCCCGTTCACCCGAATGAATTGTTAGTTTTAGTACATCACATTCAAAGGCACTTATTCCCGCCCAGGTCATATCACTGCTACCTCTCGTACAAACATTCCCACTGTACTCTTTCACCTGACAACACAACGTCATGACCATGGCTTCCACGAAACATACATACGGTGAAGTACCCGGTTATCACCACTTTTTTCACCCGATATGGTCCTGCAGTCCCTGAAACACCACCTTACCCCCCTTGAGGAGCAGAGGCCCGTTGGCCGTTACCGCCGTGCATCTTACGCAAGGGGGGTACATGTCAACGGTAACTTCGCACCCAAGGAAAGGCCGTTCACGATCATAACACTGTTCAAAATCCCTCATGATACCCACAGCTATATCCAGGCTTTCTTTCTTGTCCATTCTGAACGATACGAAAATCGATATGTCATCAACCAATCTGCATCCGTGAATGAGTCGTCTATCAGCCCTAGCGTTGCCAAAAACGAGTGTTCACGGAAAGCACAAAGCAGGCAGATCAGTGCAGGGCTATTGCTCTTGCCCATTGGGATACCCTCCCTCTGTCGTAAAATCCTCCCGGACGCCACTACATACGTATGGCTCAGATCAAATCTGACAAACCTGAGGATCGACCGGAAAGGGATAGTCTTCCACCCAATTTCTCCAGCGGCTTTCCCAAAAGTTGCACCCTTCCCGTTGACTTTGATTCTGACGTGATCAATCCCCTTGCTTTCATAGACTTCAATAATCCATTCTACTGCCCGTTCATTTGCCTCATGCGGTAGCTTAGAGAACAGGTCTTTGATGTCAAAGCTGGCTGCTAGTAATGCCCTTCGTCCACCTTTGCCTCTTTCCGACGAGTTAAATGCTTGGATGCACCCTAGCAACTGTTGCGTGCTCTTTAAGTGGGTGCCTTTCGGCAGACTCCACAACAGATGGTTGAGAGCCTTTCCTATCACCCAGCTCATCCTTCCCGCTGGTTCGTAGTAGGATGGGCAAATCGGCCTCCACCTTGTGGGGTGGATATAGGCCTGGGCCAACAACCCACCCTTGTTCCACTTAGCCAGGCTCGTATACCGTTCGTTAGTGTATGCTTGCCTGCATTCTTCTATAATTGTCTCCTCCCTCTTATCTTTGGATAAAGGCATCATTGGTCACAAATATCTCTCTCATCGCTTCCGCATACACAACTGGACAGCAGGCCATAGTATCACCCATGTTATGATCGAGTGGCATGATCACCAGTCCTTCCATTATAATCTTGATTGCGACCACCTTTTTAACACAGATGCTCTTGTTGCTCACTTTCACCTCCTTGTAGCAGTTTAACACTTCACATCGTTTGAATGCTTTCACCTTTCCTTTGCCGAAAAAGGTTTCCATTGCCAAACTCATCTGCACCGCCAGAGCCCCACCGACGCGCTTGTTGGGTCTGTGTTGCATATTGTAACGGTGCAGACCAGAACAAGAACCGACCTCTCAATACAAAGTACAAGATAGCGTAGCGGAAGACTTGGATACCAATGATCCGAACAATCAATATTGCAATGCAGCC